GCGAAAGACTGTCAGCTTTAGCAATTCTACTTTTGTTTCATCTGTATCATTTAATGGAGGAGCCTTTTCATTTGATCAACAACTTATGCTCAGCCTTTCTCCCAAGTACAACTTCGCCTAAAATGATGTTCTCAACATCGAAGCAAGCAGGAGCAATATAAAAAATAGACTCAATAGAAGTAGTTGCTGTAGAAGAAACCCCTCCTGTAGAAAAATAAATAAGCAAATCTTGAGGCTCCAAAGCTCATGATAATGCATCAAATCTTAATTCATAAGAATAGGAATTATGATCATACGATCATTAATAAAGAGTTTTATGAATTGGCTATAGGAATTTGACAAGGAGGGCTGCATTTGAGGCACTTTACAGAACATCTTAAAAAAATCTGATGGTCGTTGGTCCTTGAAAAGAGAAGATCAAACACAAAGTTGAAATATAATAAATCTATTGAATGAAAAAGAGAGAAGAGGAGCTAAACTAAGCGTATAAAATTTAGCAAATCCGCATACAAAAGTTGGATCAACGAAGGAAGAAACAACCAACTAGGCAACTACCATTGGCCTCCTCATATAAGGTATTCATCTCATTAACAAACTAAAACAACCCCTAAAACAAGGATGAGAGTATTCATATACTTCGAATTTAATCTAATAACACACATATATATATGACCTAAACTAACGAAAGGTTAAGAAAGACTTAAAAACTAGTTGGATTCAACTCTTCAATAGCCTGGTTTGACTTAATATTCATATTTGAGAAACTAGATTTGAGTTTAATAATTTTGTTGAATTATCATCTAACACAAAATATACTTCGCTTTAGATTTAGTAGCAATATTACCATACAATAGATCACCTAAAAGCTTTAGCACTTCTACTTTTGTTATCTATGTATCAAATGATGGAGGTGTCTTTCCATTTAATCAAGAATTTGTGCTCAACATTTTTACGGAGTACAACATCATTTAAAATGATGTTCTCAGCATCAAAGCAGGCACAATGGAATCAATGATGTTCTTCCTTGACCAACTAGACAAGGAGCTAGGGTTTAAAGTACTTCATAGAGTTTATTGAACAAATATCTCGATAGTCCTTGAAAAGAGAAAACTAAACATAAATTTTGAAATATTATAAATAACTTGAACGAGAAAGAGAGAAAAGGAATCAAACTCCAAGTACACAGCTTAGAGCATTCCGCATACACAACTTGGATTAATGAAGGAAGAAGCTACCAACAACCAATGGCCTCATCAAATAATTTATTCATCAGTAATCCAAAGCAATTAGTCATCTTTATAAAAGAAAACAAACCCTAAAATAATGATGTGATTTTTCTAATACTTTAAGAACTAATCTAATAATAAAAATTGAAAAGAAATACTACAAAATTTGGTCTAAATCAATGAAAGTTCTAGAAAAGTTTAAAATTGCAATGATTAGGCTCTTTTAAAACCTAATTTCACTTCTTATTCACATTTTAGAAATTAGATTTAAGTTTACTAATTTGGTTGAATGATCATCTAACAAAAACAAAACTACATAAACTCCCCCTTAGCTCGAGGAACCCCACTATAGAGAGTTAGCAATAATATAATCATCCAATTAAGCGAAAGACTGTCAGCTTTAGCAATTTTACTTTTGTTCCATCTATATCATTTAATGGAGGAGCCTTTCATTTGATCAATAACTTATGCTCAACCATTCTCCCAAGCACAACTTCACCTAAAATGATGTTCTCAACATCAAAGTAAGCAGGTGCAACATAAATAACAGACTCAATAGAATTAGCTGTTGTAGAAGAAAACCTCCTGTAGAAAAATAAATAAACAAATCTTGAGGGTTCAAAGCTCCTGATAACGAATTAAATCGTAATTCTTAAAAATAGGAGTTATGATCATATGATCATTAATAAAGAGTTTTATGAAAGGGTTATAAGAATTTTACAAGGAGGATTGTGTCTGAGGCACTTTATAGAACTTATCAAATAAATATGATGCTCGATAGTCCTAGAAAAGAGAAGAACAAATAATAAATCTATTGAATGAGAAAGAGAGGAGTTAAACTCGGTGTACAAAACTTAGCACAATCCGCATACAAAAGTTGGATTAATGAAGGTAGAAACAACCAACTACCATTGGCCTCATCAAATAATATATTCATCTCATTAACAAATGAAAGCAAACCCTAAAAAAAAGATGATAGTATTCCTATAATTCAATTTAATCTAATAACAAAAACAATTAAAAAAACTATAAATTTGACCTAAATTGACGAAAGGTTAAGAAAAACTTAAAAACTAGTTGGATTCAACTCCTAGATAGCCTGGTTTGACTTAATATTCACATATGAGAAACTATATTTAAGTTTAATGATTTAGTTGAATCATCATCTAACACAAACAATACTTCATTAACTCTCGTGAGCAAAAAGGAACTTCGCTCTAGAGTTAGTAGCAATATTATCATATAAGAGATCACCTATAAGCTTTAGCACTTATGCTTTTGTTATCTATGTATCAGATGATGGAAGTGTCTTTCCATTTGATCAAGAATTTGTGCTTAACATTTTTCCCAAGTACAACATCATTTAAAAATAATGTTCTCAGCATCAAAGCAGGCACAATGGAAACAATGGGCGCATTAGCAAAGTTAGTATAAATAGGAGTGGCTTGTATTGTTTCAAGATGAATAAAAATAAATTCCTTTTTTTTTTCAAACCGTGTCCTCTCTTCCTCTCTCCCTCTATTTTCCCCTTCTCTCTCTCGATGGAAGCATCCAAAAAGTTACTGGCTCTCGGTCCGACAATGCAAAGCAAGGTTGTCGTGGAGGTGCGTAGCCAGAGAGCTATTGGCTCTCGGTCCGACGGTGGAAGCAAGGTTGCGGTGCAGGCACAGCTGCCAAGGGGGACTGGCGGTGAGGGAGGAAGGTAGGAATTCAAGATCTCTTCATTTAAGGTTTTCAACACACATAACGTACCATGTTTAAAATGAGAGAACAAATCTTCATAAAATTACTTCATGTGTATGAAAAATATTTAAAGAAAATATAACAACAAACAACTTCAAACAATACAATAGTAGAATAATTCTTTTCATGCTCTTTTAGCATAAACCATGGGATACCATCAAATTCCTTATAAATAGATCAATAATACTTCACAAAAATAATAGAAGAATGCTAGTAATATTAAGTACACATCACATGATAGACTAAAGCTCCATACAATTACACCTTGAGTATGCAAAATCTTCAAAGCAAATATAATAGCAACCAACTTTTCAATTTCCTTAAAGCGTAAACCACCAACCTCCATGCTGCATTGGCACAACCAAAACATTGGATAGAACCATCACTATACGCCTTAAGCCCATCTGTGCTAAAAGGAATAATAAGCATTGGTGTACCGATCAATCTATTATTAAGCTCCTCAAAGAGCTTCACATTAGCCAATTTCTGATTGAACTTTAAGTTCTTAAGAGTCAACTAGGTCCAATGGTAATGCAATTCTACAAAACCTTCAGCAAACATCACATAATAGTCTGCTAATCCAATAAAACTTTTTACTTCATCCACAAGTAGGCCTCTTCTAGTTAAGAACTTTAAACTTCTTGGTATCCACTAAAATGCAATTCTACAAGTAATGTCCCAAAATATATCACCTCCTTGTGCAAAAAAATGACCCTTATTCAACTTGGCATAAAATTCTTTTTATCATAGAATCTCCAAAACAACTCTTAAGATGTTGCTCGTATTTTATTTGGCCTTTAAAATATATCAAGATCAATTAAAAAAAAAGATTTAATGCTTAAACAATTGATTCATCAAATATATAAAACTTAGGGCATTGATTATATCTAATGGCATCACCAAAAATTCAATAGCGTGAGAAGTTTTCTTGGGAATATCCACTTTCTTGCCATTTGCTTATGATAAGCTAATCTCATGCACCTAAGTTCCTTAATATTGATCAAACATGCCATTAATATGGCATAAGTATATTTATTCTTCATAGTCAACTACTTCAATTGTCTACAATCTAGAAAAGCCTCATAAGACTATCCTTCTTTACAAATAGCGCAAATGCTTCACAAGGGGAACGCTAGACCTAATAAAAAACCCTTATATATCCATTCTTGTACTTGATTTATTTTTTTAAACTCAACGGTTCCCCATTCTATGACATGGCTTAAAAATAATGGTTTCAATCAAGGCTTTGAAAACCAGACCGGACAATGAACCGGAAAAAGAAGAGGTTGGCAGTTTGATGGTTCGATCGGGGTCGAACCGGATGACATAATAAATAATTATTATATTTAAAAAATAACCCAATATTTAATTCTATCAGAGGATCTAAAATCTATAAGTTTATAATTGGCAATATTTGGTCTTCATTTGAGATTGTGTTTTGACTATTCTCATATAAGATTACAAAAAAATAGTATAAAAGGTAGATGTTGAGTTCTGTACACGCCACTATCCGTATTTTTCCTCCCAGCAACAAAAGCTTTCTCTGACATCTTCCTAGCTTTCTCCGACATCTTCACATCTTTCATCCTCCGCAACTCTCGTCTCCTACAGCGGCATCTTTGAGCTCTATTTCTTTTCTCCCACAACTCTGCCACCAGCTACGTCGGTATTTGGTACCACGACTTCTCCGCCTCCACTTTACTCATCAAAAGTTACCTCCTTGCAGTCGAATAGAACCACAGTGGAGCTGTTCGACAGCGGCAACCTTTTGCTCAACAACTCCGGCGTCATGGCGTGGCAGAGCTTTGATCACCAGTGCGATAACTACCTCCCCGGCATGAAGGTCGGGCTCGACCTCATCACCAACATGAACCAAGCGTTCACCTCATGGCGTAGAGACGACGACTGGCGCCGGGGAACTTCGTCGGCAATGCCCCTAACTGCAAAAGCGGTATTGGCTTCGCAAACGAGTAGGAGACGTCGGGGAAGAAGATCTGCCGAACTGGACTTGAACGCGATACATCCGAATGAATTATACGGCGGGCCAGTTATCAGAAACCGGGACCAGTTAGACGATTGGGCAGTCGAACCGCCGGTTCGAGCGGTTCAATACCGGTTTTGTGCGAAACCGGTTTTAACATGAGCCGTAACCGGCCGGCCGGCCAGTTCGCGGTTCAACTGGCCGGTCCAACCCGATTTTAAAAGCATTGGTTTCAATAGCTAGAACTTCTAGAAATATATCACAAAATATGAAAAAATATTTCGAAAATATAGATTTACTTCCCTAAACTTCAATTATGAAGGAGAGCTAATCAATATTCCTATTAGGAAGAAAATGATATAAAACATATCTTTCAATAACTATACTAAACAATAGACTCTCCAAGAGGATAAAAGGCAACGACCTTCCAAAAGAAATCAATCTAGACAAGATTCTCCAAGAGGATCAAAGGCAACGACCTTCCAAAAGAAATCAATCTAGACATGATAAATGGAGAATCAATTAATACCAAGATGACATCAAAATCATCAATCTAAGGAATCTTTAAACCCATGAGTAACCATGGTCTCCATCTAGACTAAACCTATCTTCATTATTCAATTGTTTGATATAGAAAGACCATCAAATGCAGATAAAGTAAAAAATGTACTAATAATTCATACATGATACCCAAACATAGAAAAAAACAAGATCTAAAGGAATGAACAAATCCATCATCTATAAGTATACACTAATTATAAGATAATCAACAAAAAAGCACCTCAATAAATGAAATTGAAGCATAACACCATACAGTTGTTTGCGTCGCTTCTACTAGGGCTCTTACATTGTTTCATCTGATCAACTCTACTAGAAGAATCTCTAATCACATGCCCTAATTAGTAACAATTATAACATAGGCATGCATTTCATTGGCATTGACTTAAACTAATGACCTAGCTCATTACTCATGAAGCACTTCACACCCGAATTGTTAGACATCCCTTTATTCTGATATAGGGGGTTTTGATGTAGGCAAAAAAAAAAAACATTTCATCGGGTATTTATTGTTGGGCTGAAATTCATATAAATGGGCTAGACCCATGTTTCTTTGGCTGTTTAGTATTTGGTGTTTGGAGAGTTGTGGCTAATTGGTGGCTTTTTTTTTAGCAATTGGTTGCTTGGTTCCTGAGCTGCCATGCTCTTTTCTTGGTGTTTGTTCGACTCATGGTTGTTCGATTCTGGATGGTCTTTTGAGGGGGCCTGGCTACTCGATTTGTGGTTCTACCAGGCGTTTTCTCTTGGGTTTTCTTATGTTCTGGTTGGCAGAATGGGGCGGCTGCTTTGGGTGTCTTTTGAGCTCATTTCCCCTATTTAAATGAGATGTTGGCTGTTGTTGGGAGGTTGTTGAACCTTATTTTGTCTCCAAAAACCTGAGGGTTTTCTTCCAAAGCTTGAGAGCTTCTTCTTCCCCACTTACTTCTTCTAAGACTTCTATCTATTTCTTTTATCCACAAGTTTCCACCCCATTGTATATTTCTTCTCTACAAAAGGTGTAAGAGGTGTTGTTGTTGGCTGGTTTGTTGGTATTTGCTCAAGGAGTTTCAACGGGTGTTGAATCGGGATTGCTGTGGTGGACCACTGGTTTGCATGTTCATAAGAGCACTCTAATTTCCTGTTTTATCGTTACATGTGAGGTGACTACTAGTTGGTTGTTTTGAGGGGATTCTTTTTTTAGTTTTTAAATTTTGATTACTTTTAGTTTCTTCTTTTTTTTTCTTCCTTTCTTCTAAAACATCTTTAGTTTCTTACATCGAGTTTGTTCACTTCTTTTTGGATTGAGTCGTGTCCTGTTTCTCTTAAGTGTTCTCTTTTGATTTTTTTAAGACTCTTTTGATCCCATCAGGTTTGAACTTCCAATTATTCTTCTAAGATTTTAATACTTCAAAAAACATTGCGTGTGGCTTTCACACTTTATTATATTTTTAATGACTGGATCTTCAATTCTCTGTAGTGTAAAACCTTACCAACCAGAACATAAAAATTTGGTAACTCTTGTCATATTATAGCCAATTAGATCTCCCATCTATCTCTACTCAAATATTTAATATTGTGATCTTTATCTCCCACGAACTGGTACAAACTTAACCACACAATTCAATTTAACGATATGTTAAACCACTATAATCTCATCAAAATGGAGGTAAACACATGCCCCATATGCCGCTAAAGTGGGAAATATTCCTAAGATAACAAAACCTTAAAATTGTTCCCAAATCCTGTTTACCTCAACTCCAAATGCCTAACACCTAAAGGTTCACCATACATAAAAATGAACTTCAAGTTTGAAAGCTATAAAAATGACCTTCTGATAATCAGGCACTTTTAGAGTATCAAAAGCCTTCTTAACTTCTCTAATCCAACTCTCAGCTTCCAGAAGATCCTGCTTGCATGTAAATGCTATTGGCCCCATCTTAAACTGTTCTAGGTTAGGGTAATCCACAACTACAAAACCAGCCCCAACTCCAGCTTACATCTGCTATATTGGATGTTAATTTTGTTGATATTTTATTATTTGCACTTAAAACAATTAATTTTTTTGTCACTTGTTCAAGAGTTGTGACAGAAGATCTTGTGCTACTCGAACAAGAACCCCCATCATAGGCTCATTTGCAAGCACAGATACTACTTCAACAGCAGGCCTCCTTCCACCTACAGATCCCGCTACATCAGCAACAATGCTTCCTCGACTTTGAGTAACTGTTGGAAACCTAAATTAATTAAACACTAGTAGTAAGTACCTCAATAGTAATATTCTTGAAAAATAACTTATTAAAACTCCATAATCTCTTAAATTTAGCACTAAATAATACATTTTTTAGTTGTTACCCCACAATGAACCCAATCAAATTTGCATGAACAAGAAGTACAAAGCATAAACAATTTATACGAAGCCAAAACATAAGTGTTGAGTTAATAACCAGAGAAAAAAGTATCTCACCAAACAAAGTTCAATACTTATACTAAAGATAAAATAGAAACTCATCCTATACTATTCAGTATCAATGCAAGAGTACCAAAACCAAATATTCAACTTCAATGAAGATGTCTCTACTTTATCCAAATGCAAAAATATTGAGTACATATAATATATTAGAAAGGATATGCAAAATCATAGCTCAATAAAAAAATATCCTGGCATGACTACAGCAGTTCAAGGACATGCCATACAATATGCATGCATTTCACAAAAATCATAACCAACAATACGTTCACTCAACAAGAGACATATATGAAAAAATTTAATAATACAGTAAGGGATTAAACAATTGATAGCAGGTTGGAAAACCGAAGTAAATTATGTAGGCTGGGTTGAGTACATCCGTCCATGCAAAACCACACTCCCCTCGCGAGGTGGCGGGGGGGGGGGGGGGGGAATTCCCAAGAATTCTAAAGATATAAATTTTGTTCAAAATAGATTAAATGCTCAGAGTTATCATCTTTTGAAGATTATATTTATATAAAAAAATCCTAAGCATTCAAAATTTGCAAATATATGATATCTCAATTATGTTGTTATATGAATCTATAATACACTTTTAAAATCTTCATCTTACTTCCTAGAGACCTATGACCAATGCTCCATTTGTGTGAATCACAACCAACCCTTTCACATCCAATAATCTTCACCGATAATCGTCAGAGACATTGTCCAACAACTGATCCACTAGCATATGATGGAAGTTATCATCTCTCTCGATCTCTCATAAGTTTATGGTCATCAACAGCTTCCAAACACTTTCAAACTTGAGCTCCGGCGACCGCTCTATCAACTCTTATGTTGGTTCATTCACTAGCTAAGACAAGGGTTCTGATGATCCTATAAATAGGTTTATTCATGACTTTTTAGAGAAATATATTCATTTCGATCTCACCAAATTTCATTCACAAGGAAAGGGGCATCTGTGAGGATTCCTACACTTCCTAAACATCCAGATGCTCACAGCTAGGGACAAAGAAAAAACTGAAAATTGGGGTTTAATTCAATGGAAACCTCTGACATATACAAGTTCTTTATATTTAAATCATTATTTTACCCTTGATTTATTAATAAGTAATAAATAATATCATTATTATTACATAGGTAATCTAGTAACCTAAATTAAGATAATATTGATGTCCCCACAAGTTAATTTTGCCAACGCAATGATAAAGAAATCTATCATAATTGGAATGGCAAGCCACACATTAATTCAAATAGATAAGTAACATTGAAGGAAGATAATAACAGAATTTTTTTTATTTGAACACAGAATTTCTTGAATAAACTAAAGGTCCATGAAGCCATAAAATACTCAAAATTAACCCATTTTTATTTAGTTAAAGATCAGTTGCGTGTAGCAAAACAAGAAATGCAAAGCAAAATATGCAACAAAATTAGGAATGATAAATCAAGAAAGGGCATATTATTAAAGGGATGGTAGAGGTGAAAATTAATAAAAATAAAATAGTTGACAATAAACTTAAACGGTTTAAAATGTGCAATGAATGGTAGAAAATAAACCCCTTAAGAGTAGCAGTAGATAAACTTTATTTCATAGAACTAAGTAAGAGAAGGGTTGGCGCTACAAATGACATGAATAAAAGTACTCAAAAAGATTTCTGAAGAATAGATTTAACATATCATATGAAGATAAGTAAAAATAATGAAAAATGAGGATTCATTAACAACAACAACAACAACCACCCTTTATCCCACTATGTGAGGTCCGGCACATGAATCATTTTTCTCCATCGTGTATGGTTAAGAGTTAAATTCTCATTTAAATCTAAAAAAGTAATGTCATTTTTAATATTTTCTAACCAAGTCCTTTTAGGTCTAAATCTACCTTTCTTAACATAAGTCAAATCTATACATCTATTTTCCTAATTGGGTCATCAGAAGGCTGTCGTTTTATGTGACCAAACCATCTGATTCGACACTCTCTAATCTTATCTTCCATTGGAGCTACTCCAACCTTTTCAAGTATATGCTCATTTCGTATCTTATCTCTAAGAGTAAAGTCACTCATTTGCCTGAGCATCCTCATCTCTGCAACACTTGACTTAATATTATGCTTCTCTTTTAATGGCCAATATTCTGCGCCATAAAACAATACAGGTCTAACCACCATCTTATAGAATTTTCCCTTAAGTTTGAGGGGGATTTTTCTATCACACACGACGATTGATGCATTCCTTCACTTCAACCATCCAACTTGAATTCTACTAATAGTATCCCCATCTATTTCACCATTACTCTGAACAATATATCCAAGATATCAAAAACGTGTACTCTTTTGATGACTTAATCACCCAAAGTCACAATCCTCGCATTAGATTAATTATTACTAAAATTACACTCCATATATTTAGTTTTATATCTATTCAAATGAAACTCTAAGGTTGACCTCCATAATTCAAGTTTACCTTCAACTCCCTCTCCACTCTTATCAATAGAATATATCATCAGCAAAAAGCATACACCAAGTTACAAACTCTCGCAAATGTCTAGTGAGAACATCCATGACTAAAGCAAAAAGATATGGGCTTAAGACTAGTCCTTGATGTAATACAACTGAAATAAGAAAATACTTGGTCAAATCAAGCATGACCAAAAATATTTAAGAAAGGGCTAATGATGATGAGTGATGACATTGATAAAACCTTCCTACACTTTTTAAGGTGAAGCCCAAAACCCATCCAACCACCCAAATCACATAAATTTAGGCTGAGAACACACATTATTTTGTTAAATAGGACAATAGGCGAAGGATGGTGTATGCAACCTTGGCCTTATGTGCAAAATAAATACAAGCATGCAACTCCTTCAAATTGAACAACACAAAATACAAACATTTTCATATTCAAGGCCCTATTCATATTCATGAAGCATTGATATATCAACAACAATCAAAACACCCAACTAGACAGTGTGTAGCAAGGCCAATTTTGGACAAGACAAACCAAATTCATCATTCCCATACCAACATGAATAAAATAATTTTAAAACTCCTAGGATATAAATGTTATGTATAAATAAACATACTTTACATATTGAACATGTAATATATATAAATTAAAAGCAAATCATCAATTTGTTCAGGCCTTAAGTTGGGCCCAAATGGGCCAAACAAGGGTGTCTAATAAACTTGGCTTCACCCAACCTACCCTGCAAAAGTTTTTCATGTGTACAACATTAAGCATGTGCAACATTTTGCCAAAATTTGCCCATGAATTTATAAAATAGCTCATTTATAAATATTTTATTAATCCTTCCATCAATTAGGTTTTCATAATAGCTAAACATAAGCGACAATCAATCATTCTGAATATCAAACATGCAAATAAGCAAATCAATTGTACTAATACCAAATAAATTATAGAAATAATTTAACTTAAGAAAATAAACTTGGCCAAAATAAGCAAAAAAGCTAACGATATAAGATGGGTAAGAATTAAAATCCAAGAGAGCATATATGTAAATTTTTTTGACAATAGGTAAAGGTGGGCATGATCCGAGTTACCATGCATATTGATTCCATCTTCTGATCCTAATCCATTATGACTTTTTCACGCCAACAATCCGCTAATTTCTCAAGTATAGTGCAATAATGCCTCCATTATACTAGAAAATGCTCAAACTATGTGGTTACTTTCACTAGCTTAGGTATAAATCACTGAATCAATTGATCAACTTAGCAATAGTAAATGCCTCCTGACCCACTCCCCGGTTTTAAAAACATTGTACTATCACATAAGTCAATCACAAAGCAACATATTGCGCCAATCATACATGTCAATAGCACCAAATGGTGTGCACAATGGAGCAAGGCACAGTGTGGCGCACCCTCTACACCATTTTTCTAGTGAGGCACAGAGGGCTAACATGATGCATACTATTTGCGCTATTCATGACAATGGAGAGCCCCCATGGATCACAATATTTGATTATGGCTTGAAATTAGTTTAAATATTATACATATCTTATTTCTTGTATTTTTTTATTATTATTTCTTGTATTTATTTCACTTTAATTATAATTTAGGGTTTAATTTTATTGAAACTGGATGTGCGTAAGAGCCCTTGGGATCCCCCTCTATCTTGACCTTGATGTTCCCCCATCTCTCTCACTAAGTCCTCCCACTATCAAGACTCCCCCTCCCCATCTCGCTAAGCTTTAGCAGAGCCAACTGTTCCAACATCAATGCTCAACTCACCAATCTCACATCTCAAACAACACTGACACACCTTTAGGGTATAGGATCTCACCGATCACCAAGCTTCAAACCAGCTTTGACGCATTCAATCATTCACTAAGGGTTTCAATGCTTCAAAACTTCATTGAAACAGCTACTCTTTGATTATTTCAGCCTTTCACTTTAGTGCTAATGTCATGGTTTGATACTTTGATTGAATGGCTTCACTAATTTACATGTACTCATATGGTCTTTTTCTAATTTCTATTTTTTGTTCATAAAACAATGGCTATAAAATTTATATTATTTTTTCTCAAAATTTCTAATGACTATGAGGTGTTAAATGAATAATAGTGTTAAATGAATAGAAGTGTTAAAGGATTGGAAGAATAAATAATATTATTTGGTGTCGAACGTATGCTAATCAAAGTTTCTAATGACTCTGAAGTGTGGGTTCCAAATGGTTCACTAAACTTTTTCTTATTTATGTTATCAATTTCACATATTAGATGAAAAAAAATGTTGAATTTAGT